TTATTATTTAGAGTGAATGTATCGTTACGATGCGATTTATTTAAATTGTCTCGTTAAAATAAATCTTATTATGAAATAATTTAGCATCCGTTTTGCGGTTTCGATAAATTGTTCTTTCATGACAAGTTCTTTCTCGATTCTATATTTTAAATACTGCTCTATTTCGGAACATCCGCTCCGTGGTTACACCGAACGGGGTATGTAGAAGTTCACGGGCTAACTTTTGCCCGCGTTCACGTACGGGTTGTTCGTTTAAGAATTACAGGGTCCATTTGCCGGTATTTCACGGGCGCAATCTAAGTAGGCACGCCCCGTCCAGGATTTATTAGAATTAGAAATCTGATGCTCCATGTGCGCGACTACGTTGTATATTAACATTAACGGCACGAGTGTTACGAGCCATTTGTACTCGGAGTAGTGAATTACATAGAACGTGAGAAGCTTCCGCGCGCGAATTATTAGTCTCATTATAGTATAGTTTACAGGTTTCACCAAACGGCAAAATCTGCCCTGCTGTTACAGTGCTGGAAATAGAAGTGCTTTGAAAATAAAAGAGTTACATTAGTTTTTATTGACTATTCATGTTGTTTCAATTAGCGATTCGCATATCTCTCGCGGTATACATATTTTATTCCTTTTATTACTCAATACTGCAAAATGAAACATATTTCTAAATGTAAATTATAATATCTTTATTATAACATATTCCATGTGAATGTTACACATGACCGGGTATGATTATACTTTAATGGTATAGAATCAAAGATGTCACGAAAAAAAAAATCATGATGCGAATATAAAACCGATCTGGAAATAAATCGATGAATTATTATACGATTACTATGCATTTTAACGTTTACGATATCCAAATGCATTCATGTGAATACTAAAAATGTTCAGTATGTCATAATATACATCGCTTTTTTAATCCATATATGTAGACGCTAAAATAACGTAGCGATTTTTGTTGCATATTCCGCATTCGTAATAAATTCTTCTATTTGTAAAGATATGCGTACTGTATATAAAATAAATACTATCTTATAAAGTCTTATACCCTCACGTTCACATTTTAAAACGCATGAATTTGATAATAATATAAATTTTCTTGCATTAAACCCTCGAAATTTTCTACTTTTTAACAGAATTACTCTAAATAATAAGTGTTTAAAATTTCAAACATTTTTATTGTCGCCGTTTTCAAGATGTTTATTAGTGTGCAAAATTTCAAACATTTTATAAATGTTCAGTTGTATTTGGTGTTTGATATGTCACACCCGTTAAAGTATTTGATTTTCTGAATAACTGAAATTTTATTCAGATTAAATATTTTATTTTTAATAATGCTATATCAAGCGTTGAGTTACGATTTGGAAAAAACTATATATTTGTAAAAATTTTTTAGACTGATTGACTTAAAAAGTTTTTATTATAAGTTTGTAAGTGTTTGTTTCATAAGTGTGTGATTACAAAGTGTTTGAAGTACAAATCTCTGTTTGAAATTCTTATAATCAAACACAAGTTGTTTTTTATTGTTCTCGTTTGAAACTCAAACGTATATATCTATTTTCAATTTTAGTAACACAATTTTACAAGGTTCTGTAATGTTTGATACAAAAGTATTTGAAAGCTAATCACTTTTATGTACAAGTGTTTAAAATTCAAACACTTTTCTAATTATGTTTGATAAGTCAAACATTTTTCTGTTTTAATGTTTATAATTCAAACACTCATCCACATACAGATAAACCTATTTTTAGAGTAATGTATTGCTTTGCATCGACGTTGAGTTAATTATAGGAGATCCATATGTATCTACGTATATAAATATATGTACATATTAGAGACACGGTTCATTCGCATGATGCAACGAGATGCCACTCATATGCACAATATATAGTACAACTTAATTTACTTAATAAAAATTACCAATTCAATCATTCTTTAAGATATGTATCGACTAATATTCATAATGTTAAATTCTAATTGCCCACCATATGCAAATATATAAATTATACTTTATAAGTTAAAGTGTATTTATTTGGTAAAAGGCCGGATTTTGCATCGCCGATCGATTTTACTAACATCAATATATTGAGAGCGAGATACAGGATACACGGTGTGTATCTAGAATGACGCGGACGTTATTTTTCAGGATTTTCAACCATAAATGCCATATCTGGGAAATAATGACGATTGATGGTGGTTGCGCGACGCGTTGAGCTAACGTTACTATACTATAATACTCGGCGAGTTCACTTGCATTAGATGGTATATATTTAGTGTCATATCTAACGCCTCCCCCCCTCTCTCTCTTTCTCTCTCTTCTGCTCTCTCTATTCTTTTACACAAATTTTTGAATGTACGGTTAACATATTTTCTAAACTGCTCAAAACTTGAAGCAAAAAATGCATTGCATAGAGCTTTTTTGTTACAATTAAAGTTAATATTAAAATTATAATCGTAACGATTATATTTAAAAATTAGATAACAGACTGATTTAGTATTCAGGAAAACACTGCGTAAAATTACGCTTTGACCTTAAAAGGTGTAATTAGACACGCGCAATTTCTTTAAAAATTCTTGAAGCATAAATCATTTGCTTTATAACTTAAGCTCCTTTCCTATTAAGAATTAATAAAGTGTCGATGTTTATCTGAAAAGACGCTATGATAGAAGAATTACTTATATCATGGAATACAAAAACTGTGGTACTTTTTATTTCAATAGATTACTTTCTCTCTTTTTGCCTTTTAAACCATAAAAGATTCTCAGGTACTGAGCAAACGACGATTTTTAGCTAATTCCCTAACTTATGCGAGACGTCGCGCTGCCTTAATTCGCATCGGCGGGCACTCGAGAACCGCGAATACCATCAAGAGAATAAACCACGAGTCGTCGAATTGATATTAAAATTAATGTTATATAGTTAAAGGCGAGAAACTTGCCGATTAATTCGGTAGATAACGCCCGCGGGGGCTTTCGCAGGGGTCGATGTCGGGGTAAGAGATAGCATTGCCGCGAACACGGAGGCATCCAATCCGAACAATTCGGTTTTCCTTCGAGCTGGGACACGCGAAGGTCCTCTCTAACCCATCCGTTCCCCCCCTTCTATTCTACGCTCGAATAGAGAAAGCAGGAGAGAAAAAGAGAGCGGGAGAGAAAGCGAGGGAAAAAGAGAAGGGACGGGAGACACGATTCACAAGGGAATTATCGGTACTTGATTGCGCTTAATCCGCGAAGTTTTCTCGTTTGACTTACCCGTTTCGAACGCGACTCCGCCTCGTTGGCTACCGTCGTGCACGACTCGCAGTCGGACATCCGCTGAACGAAAAACGCGCGCTAATGCCACCCCGGCAAAGAAGAAAAATTCATATCAAACGCGAAAAGTCGAATGCTGAATCTCGTACTAACGACGCCCGTTCGATGGAATATGTTTGCTCACTTCCGGCGTCGTTCTCGCATCCTTCCTTTTATCTCTCCCCTTTTGCCTTTGCCCGCATCCTTCCCTTTCTTCTCGATCATCTCTACCGCTCTGCCCCTGCCTCTGCCTTTCTTCTTTAGCCTCAATACTCTTAGAGAAGAAATGTTGCTGTATGCACGCCCGAGAGGCGAGAACGTACCTCTAACGGCTTACACTAATCCCGGGGCTGCCTCAACGGCCTGGCGAATTATTTCCATTCCGTTTCCCTATTCCCTGCATCTAGCGTTATCAAAGCGTGTACACGCCGCGGTGCCGTTTGTAAAGGCAGAGTTGCGGTTTCCGGTATTAATTTCAGGAACAATGAGCGGTGCCTAATACACTCTTTTCCGGAGAGCAACGGGATTTTGACGAGATCTCGTGGAAATTTTATTTCTTTTTATTTTGTTTTGTTCTGTGTTTCCTTTGCAACACAAATTCGGCTAACGATATAACAATTGCCACAAAGGCCTATTTCTGTTAAACATTTAAGACATTAAAGAAAGAAAAATTTTATTAAAAAACATGAGTGATATTTTCTTTGCCAGTGATTAAATAACAGGCAAATAATTCGACCAGAACTGGCAGAAATTTATTGTGAAAAATATTACCTCAGCCAGGATTGAGGTATTTTATTAAAAGATATTACAATAAAATATTAAAATAATATGCTAGATTTATTAAGTTTAACGCTGAAATCAGCTTGAAACTTAAAGGTTAAGGCGTCACCTGTAGTCTTATATCTTTCACTTTTTCAAGTTTAACAGCTCGTGGTAAATCTATCGGTTAAAAGATAGTACGTTTGTATCGATTTAGCATGGTATCTACAACCTCGTTTCAATCCAAATTCTTCTTTATGATCGCTTTTAATTCAATTGAATTTCTTCCCTTCTTGCAAAGCGCAAATCGAATTGAATAAAAAAAAATACGTACATAAGAGAGACTATAAAAGCAATAACGTCTCATACGATCCGCTTGGTACCGAAGGTATCTTTGGATTTCCTGCTCAATGAGATAGAACGAAGATATCCGGCAAATTACAATTGTCTCTCTGTGACTAGTAAAAATGCAAAAGAGGCAACTGTGTGGAAGACTTGTGCATATAAGTTTCATCGATTGTTAGAGATATTTCTTCGGCGCAGACGTCGTTTCCGTGTTCACTTTTTATCATCGATTTGAATGTGAAACATCTGCATTTTATAATATGAACACGCGTGACGCAAATCCTCTTGTAAAAAAAGGGATCGAGGTGAATGAATGAATCGCATATTTCATGTGTATTTTGTGTAAGACCGCGTACGATCTCTAAACTTGAAAATCGCTCGAGGATGACACACGAGAGACGGTGAACGAGATAATGTAACACATTCGCGTAACACGTTCGAAGGCACCTTCAATCCTCCTACGCAATGAGATAGAATGAGGATGTCCGGGAAATCACAATTGTCCCTGTGACTAGTAAAGATACGAAAGAGACAGGCACGTGGAAGCCAGGACGCATGCGTGTCGTGTTGCTCCTGCTGGACTCCATAGGACAAGTCAGTCTGCATCTAGACTCCGGCTCGCGTAGGTTTTGTACCAGTGCGTGTACGTGACGAAAATTAAACGAGAATTAAAGAACAATTCACGAGACTAATAAATATGACAATAATCACTGCTGTTTTCGTCCCGTGGACTGTATGGATCTTCGTTACATTGGTGCATTCATCCGAAGGTAAGTGCTCACCCGTACTTTTTGTCGAAGGGTATACAGACAATTTCTCAGTTACGCGCCTAAGGCATTGATTATCGTTGATCGTGAAAATGTTTCGTGCCTAAAGCTTCTCGTATCAAAGACCCGTCAAGATCATCTAATTCCAAACGAGAATATCTCGTGTATCAAATTATGTGACATCCCGGTAAATCCTGCTTAACGTCAACGAAAATTGTAGTGTTAAACTTTGCGATGTGTGAAAGAGAAACGCGAGTCTATCTGGTGAAATGCATAAGGAAAGCACGACATCCGAATGCAAGCTCTTCGTATGTACTATCCATTATGGTTATACCATAAATCTGACTTAACTCGACATGCCATTTTGCGAAACTTTCTTCATAAAGTCATGCCACCATTTCAGTATTTTTTAATACTTTTTATTGTGTTGTTCTAGTTTCGTAATATTGTAGGAGATATTGGAGTGTATGCAGTTTTTCTCGCAGGTATCATTGTTCTTCCTTGGTCAACATAATTAAACTTTACATTGCCTGGGTGCATATTATAAAATTAGTCGAAGAACGGAACATCTTTGCATTTAAGATGCGTTAAAGGTAGTTTATAATTACGTATTTAGCATAACTAAAAGGAATTACAGGTTTATGTAATTAGTAAATATCATTTGGAAATGTATGAATCCACGGTGAAATACCTTAAAATTAATTTACTCGTGTGTAATTTTGTGCAAAAAAACCACCGTTCATATAAAATTACACAAAAGAAAATTAAACGTTGATTCCTTATTAAAAGTCATACGCGTGCGGAATTAGCAAAAAGTCGGGCGCTTTTAGTAAATTTCCTAGCATTCAAAAACAAGGACTTAAATAACGATAAAACCGCGTACATGGTTAAATGAAAATTTGTGGAGTGCACATGGTGGCGTGACACAGAAGTATTATCCGCAGGGAAACGGAAAAAGCCTCGAATTTATGGAAGTGCTAATTGGTATTGTTAGCGGAACCGAGCGCCAATAATGGAAGTCGCTATAAAATGAGATGGAAAGATGGTAGGAATAAAGCAAAATCGATGATTTATCGAATGAAAGATTGGACGGGGGCATGACTATTGGCCATTTTACATTTTTAAAGATGGTAACAAGAACAACGCGAATGAAAAGAACAAGCAAATCGTGAATAGCCTGGATCAATATTGTGTATATACTGTACACAGGTACCAGACGGTACGAAGCAGTGAATTTAAGATGCACGAACCATATGTTGGTTTACATTAATTCTGTCGTTCACCGAAATGAATAAAAGTCTAGAATTGTTTATTCTGAAAAATGACAAGAGATGATAAATTTCTAATAATATGTCGGATACTTATAAAATGTCACACGTTCTCTCGATAATTAATTACTATGTTATTACCAATACTATTTTTAAAATTTCTCTTATTTTTCTGCAGAATTACAGAACCTGGAGAATTATTGATTGATCATTAGAGTGAATAATAATTATCCCATAATATCATTATTACAATATATTGTAAGGTTTTGTAATAGTAATTATTTAATTATAAATCGTTAAATTGTATGTTAATGTTTCTTCCAACAATAATCTAAATACGCGGATGCACTACCAATGTGTGAATAAAATATTAGGCCCAATATTCTTATTAAGACGATAAGAATGTCAAAAACAGGGGGGGATACGAAATGTGAGCGGAGGGCGAATATTTCGCGACAATTGGAATTCAATGCATTTCAACGATACTAATGGTATAGAGTTATTGGACATACGTAACATACTTTAAATGAGTAATTATAGGACGAAATACAAACAATGTGTTTGTGATTTGATGAAGAAATATAAGCTGTACGGAAAATGAGATTGAACGAATATTTTTCTCAATCGGAACTCTTGCCGCTGACATGTCAGTAGTAAATCCAGAATTTCAATCAGACGTACAGCAAACGTCCAAACGTGATTTCCTTTCATTATTGGGCAACTACTAGGAGACTGTTAAATTAAGGTTTGAAGAAAGAAATAGTGAGAGGAATAGAGAGATTAATGTCTAATTCTTAATATTGCTTCGACTTCTCTTGGGAAAATTCTCTGGGAAAATCAATGACACGCGGTCGACGAATTGCCAAGATATATAGTGGCGCTGGAAGGCTATCAAAGCATACAGCATAGAAACGACGCCAATTCAATGTATAAAAAGGTACATAATAAATCAGATATGATAATATGCTATACGTATATATAAAGAAATTAATATAAATTGTGTCTTATTTGTAAACTACGTATAATTGTTTCAGAGGTTTCCGCGTTTTATTGCTCACTGATATTCCTTCCAGTTTTATTTGCCATCTCTGTGAGATATCTTTTATGCATAATATTTATGTATCTTGATTGCATGCAAATGCTGATACATTCAAATTTATAGAAACGTGCACGCCTATTTATTAATCACCGAGTTCTTTAGAATAATATCAATTTGAATACAGGATACATTACTACCGTGCATTATTATTTAAGCGACGAGCGTATATTGTATACTAAATATAGTTTGCTTTAAAGCAATATTTGCGTGATATATGATTTTGCAATGCCGTAATAAATGGAAGCAAAATTGGACGTGAAATAAATCGCGAATTTAATGTTTTGCAGTCTACACCGTAGAGTGATTACGTGATATGCAATTATTTTCCGATAACCGTGTCCGGGCGGAAGGAAATATAAATGGCAGCGTGATATTTTATGTCATAATTTCCATTAGGATATCTATTAAAATGCTGCACGCTTGCATTCAGGTAGATAAAAGAATAGCTGACTACAAAATACTTATAAAATTGGATTGCATCCAAACGTCATCGATTAAAATGCTTCTGGTACGTCGAACACTACATAGCGATCATTGATCGTAGCTGCTAACGCGTGTAACCCTAATCGTCTTATCTCAAGATGCTGTATCATTGTCGATCGTGTTGGTTTCCATGTGCGTATAATGGATGGGCACTTAGGATTCGAATGTTCGTGTATCAATAATTTCAAAATATATACATATAATGATTGAAGCTTATGTGTTTTCATCATCGAGCGTATTGTATTTGCAATCAATCTTCTACTTTCTGCTTCATGAAGCGACATGAACGTGTAATTACCCGCTGTTACTAAATGTATTTTACCTGAGGTAAAAATAGAAACGAATGAAAAAAGTAAGGAACCGCCGCGCCGTGTCGATAAGAAGCAGTATAAAATACCGCATTTAAACCAAATTGTAAGAAAATTTACAGAAAAGTTAAATTTAAAATATTTTAAATGCTTCCCACAAATTTAATTCTCTCTTAATATGTGGTTAATAAGAATTAATCTATTTGTTTACAAAAGTTTGATATTAATACGCAAATATCGTAAATACATAAGAAAATTTTCGTAGACAAATTTGAAACAGAAGTCCGCTAGTCAAGAAAACAAAACATTACTACCAAAAACAATTGTAGATGAATTAATAAAACAATTAGAGCTAAAATCAATAGCAAAGTGATAATAATGTATAAATATAACGCTTAAGCGTCCATATATGTATATAGACGTACTGCATTATGAGGGGAACAGTAGTTAAGGTCTTCTCATAGTTATCGCTTTATCACAACAAAACCAGGCAGAGATTAATGAAATATTCGCGTTGTATTGTTAAGAAAGATTTACTTGCATGTAATCGGAAAACTCACGGACTGCATTCGTGCGAGGTAATTTCTTATTTAGTGACCCCAATCTGCCTAAGGAATGCGGAAAATGTAAGGTAGCTGTGCATATCCAGTCAGCAACAGCTTCAAACTTCATGTCACGGGCAGGCCTGCTAATTATTCGCCAGCACGCGAATGAGAGAAATTCCTTTCTCTTTCTCGGCGGGCAGCGTGTGCACACGATGCAAGCACGCAATGTTATACAACGCGGGGCAATTTCCATTATGCAACGCGCCTCTGTTATGCAAATAGAGACGCGTGTCTGAGCGGACGATCTCTTATGTGATGTTCGGTGCTCGGGCGCTTCTGAACATCGTTGAAAATTTAACTTAGCGAGTTGACGCGAACGTATCAGGACGCGCAGTTGCGCCGACGTGCGGCGTCTTTTTTTTCTCGTCAGTCCGTCTCGTTGCATGTCCGATGAAATCTCGATGGACGACGTCTCATGCCCGAACAAAGCTGAGCTTACAGACGCGTGATCCAACATTAAATATTTGGTCAGTTTATTAATATCGCATTAAGTCAATTTGTAAGCTTATATGTATACGTACTCAGGAACTTTATAGTAAGATATAGGTGACTTTTTAACTGATCGCATCACAGAGATCTATAGATATGCATTGATCTTGTACGTATACACATTAATAAAAATGATCTTCAATTGGATTTATAAACTTTAATTAATAACGGAAGGGGGGGAGAGAGAGAGATTTTGCTCACTAAATGCATATTATCATAGTTTATAATGTACATATATAAACACTAATAGCGTGTCTAATAAATTTTCATAAACCATCAGAATGACGGCAAATTATTATGAAAATCGTATGTTGAGCCACAAGCTTGAATATGTTTATAAAGATATAACATACACACACACACACACACATTATATGATTAAAAAAATACAATATATATCGTTTATCGTTTATATTTGAATGTATGATGTATCAATATATCATATATTCAAATGTGTTACTAGGTTTGTTATAAATAATGTAGATATAACTAGACATTATTAGTTTATAATAAGTCTAGTACGGAATTTGTGTATACCAAAAATATAGATGTAAATTATAAAATCTAATTACAGCGATTAAATATTTATATAAATATCCTTATCGCCGTATTAAACTTTTACAACGCGCTCCTACATTCGGTGCACTCATTTATTTCGGAATGATTCGCGATGGTGCGATTTCGGAACTTTTGAGTTGCGCATGCAGTAGCAGATTTGTTACGTCATAAAAATTTCAAGGCGATCGATTGA